CCACTCCCGGACTACAAGCTTGAGATTCTCGCTAAAGCAGAAAATATATTTATTATTCGTTATTAAGTCAAACTGCCGGCAGTTCGTATTATTGACAGATAAATCTAATTAGCAGTAAAAGTTTTAGGATGCCTCACAGAGTTCATTTAACTGCCTCTATAAATGGAGTTAGAAATTAATGAAGTATATTTGACTCTAGGGCTAGTTTTAATAAGTGTTGCCGCAGACTAGGGAAGTAAAGATAATAATTTAATTTAAAACAATTATTTTCATCTCAAATTGAAATGGAAAGTAATGACTTAATGTAGCTTAATTAGATTATAGTCTGTTCCATTTAAATTTAAAGTGTATAACAAATTGTTTAACTCAAAGTACCTATTAAAAATACCCAATGCTTAATTTGCATGGGTATAATTTTTATTTACACAGGCGTAGTAGATCTCAATAAAAGATACATATTTTCTCTTTATTCTTTTTCAAATAAATCCAAAATAACGGAGTTATTTTACTTCGAAAATTTCAAAACAAAATTATTTTTTGCTAAAATTTAGAGAACCACTGGATCTTTTCTGGATTTTCTACCTATGTTGCCATTTTATCAAGAAATTATGTTTTTAACTAAAAACTAAAAAGAAATCAAAAAAATTCTTCAAAAAATTTCGAATTTTCAAATTTTTTTTTCGCGAAAAAAAACTCATAAGCGTGTTTCTGGGATTGAACTATACTACCAGTTAAAATACTTGCACTTATTTCTGGGACACCCTGTATAAACTCCCCGGCACAAAATTCCGCCAGCCTAAAATTTAGATTAAGTTTTAATGTTTCATAACTTTTGAATTTGTAATCTGATTTTTATGATAATGGTATTAGTTTGTATATAAATTTGTTGGCATTATTTTTTATTATTTTAATGGCTTATATATTTCTGTTACGTGGGTTTATACCGGGGTAAATTAAAACTTCGTTTTTTGCAATAAATTTAAAACACCCTGTGGAAAAAATGGGGCGGGCATTTTGGATAAAAAAACACTTTGCTGTAATCTTAGATGCACTCCTAACATTTTATTTTTTGAATTATCCAATTGCTTCTATTCTTTTATGAGACACACATTTTTAAATAAAGTATTGATACTTTTAGTCTTCAATTTGTTGAAAATGGAGCTCTCAATACCCACCTTTCTATTGAAGATGTCCTCCAAGAAGTTGTCGTTCCATTTGCTCCTTTCATTGGAAATCAGTTTATACTGATGCATGATAATGCCAGGCCCTACACGTGGCGCGGGGTAACGAGTTAGGACTACGAGTAGTTAACGAGTATCTGGATGAGGTTGTACTACAAAGATTGGACTGGCTTCCTTGTAGTCCCGACCTCTATCCAATCGAACATTTGTGCGATGAACTTAAAAGAACTGTTCATCGTCGTCTTATTCCTCCACAAACTTTACAGGAGCTATGGCTAGCATTAACGGATGAATCTTCGTTAATGCTAGCCTTAGCTATTGTAAAGTATTTTTTTGAGTCATCAAGCTATAAATCAAGAAAGAGTAACTACCCTTATTCATTCGATACGACGAAAACTTCGAGCTATTATTGCTGCGATAATTAAAATTATTTAAAAATATTGTTTTTGTCAATAAAAAAATCTCTGAAATCAATATTTAAAAATGTGTAGCCCATAAAAGAAGAAAAGAAGAGAGAGATAATAGGATAATTCAAAAAATAAAATGTTAGTAATACATCAAAGATTACAGCAAAGTGGTTTTACCCCCCCTTACCTCGAACTTTTCTTTACCTATTTTCAGGCAGTTTGAAAATAAACATCTTCATGTTTAAAAAATATAATTTTATTAGTAATGGAATTTTTTAACAAAAGAAAATAAATACTAATATTTTAACACATCTGGGCAATACATTTAAATTATTCTTCTTCGCTTAACTGCAGCTGACGGTCCAGGTTTATCTACGTCACTTTTTCTCCAAAGTAATCCCATCAGCTTGATTGACCTTTTCAAACAAACGTTCGACTTCTTCTGCTTGCGGATCCTCTTCATCCAAATCCTCAACGATATCTCCAGGGCTATTATCGCATGAATTGTTGCGCTCGAGGCACATTATTGAACATTTCAACCCACTTTTCTTGCATCCACACGCGCAGCCTTTTTTACACCTGCAGGAGATAAGCTTTAGAAGTTTTGATGGAGCGAGAGATTAAAGGTAGTGACATGAGATAGTCCGCAGCTGGTTTTTTTCCAGCCCCATTTCTGTGGTTCCATGACATTTCCTTGCCAAAGTTGGACTTGGTGGTAGGTCCTCACTGAGTGTTGCTTAGCAGCAGCTTCAATTGGAGGCAAAGAAGCTAGGTTGTGTTTACTGTTGTACGCAGTCCTAATGAAACACTGATGTCTAAAGCCATTTAAAGTCATTGTTTCATCCTTGCAACCATACAAACGAAGTAAAAATTGATTTCCTGTCTTTGCGATAGCTTGTACGTCAGCATTTGGAGTTTGAAACAGCTGAGTCGGGGAGTGAAGATCTGGGTTTTGGACGAGGACTTTACGACAAATTTGGTTTTACCGTGACCAAATATCGCAGACATAGAGTCACAGCCGCTGAAAGCGTGTAAAAATAGTATAGCTTTAGCCGCTGTGTTTCAAGACCAGAAGACGAGGGGATCTGTTGTGGAATTTTGCCTTTACCCGGCTTCATGAATAAACATTGGCGGATTGAGAAAGTGCAGTCAATAGAACTAACAAATCGATATCTTCGCTGACAATAATCACTGGTGGATGAATTCATGCAATTACAATTGCTGTATGAACTATAAGACATTCTGCATCTTCGTCTGCTCGTCGCACTGGTAAATATTCCAATTCAAACTTTTTTTAATCATTTCAATGAGGCGATGTTTATTTCTGCTGTTGGATAAAAATTTTTCCTGGGCAACAGTAGGAGTCATAGACTCATCAAAGATTATGTCAACAGGTGATTGCTTTCTTTCTCTTCGCAATCTTTCTGCGCCCGATTTGTATTGTGGTTTTCGATGTCGTTTGCATAACCATCGAAAACGACAATACTATTTTTTGTGGAGTACTTTGACCTAACAAATTGAACATAGGCTACGCAAATAGATGCGATAGTTGTATTTTGTTGCCACAGTACACGATGGAGAAGGAATCCGCCGTCGATAATGTAAAACGAGTCTTTCAGTCGAATTTCATTGTCTGTTTTTATAACAGGTGTAACAGAGGAGGGGATAAATCAAGAAACTGAACATCGATAAATAGGCAAGGTCGCAAAAGCTGTGAAAACCACTGGTCTCATGTCCCGGCGCGCGTTATGCACCGAAGCGCATGTTTCGAGAAAAAATATATGATCTTTTTTGTCGCAAGTTTTGTCCACTTTCTGAATTTGCAGATAGTTTTTTGTAAAGTAAACAAAATATCGACTTCTATTCCAAAAAACGATATTTTTATCTTTTTTTTTAAATATGAGGGGGTGGCGGGGGAAATTTTTGGTGGGAAGTTGAAAATTCGCATTCAGCAACCCGAAAAACATAAGACAAGCATATATCCAGAACTACCATGAATTTTGTAACCTAAAATTATGTATTTCCTGGACTAAAAGGTAAACTAAACAAACAAAGTAAACAAACAAGGTACACAAACAAACAAACAAAAGATAATACAAAACATTATACAAATAATAATAATAAAGGTAAAGCACTTTTACGCCTAAGCACAAAAGTACAAAAATATATTATTAAACTGACATGAAGCGTCAAATTCAACTAGTATAACCATAGTTTCTATATTATTACTTACAGGGGTATTACTTCTAAATATTTTTATACTATTTGCAACGTTTGAAATTGTTTAAAAAATTATTGGTGACGTTTGAAAAAAATAGCATGTTCTATTCGTAGTAAAAAATACTTTTTGTGCCTCGCCTGTCTTGTAATGTCAAACGTACAACCCTGCCACGAAAAGTATCATTTCTACCCTAATAAAACAATATACCCCCTATTGTTTTATATTAAACATACTATATTGATTGTACATCAATGTTATAAAAAATACTAAATTATGATTTAAATACATAAACAGTCAAGAAAGAAGACTACTGTTAAAAATACAGTTGCTATAGTCCTTTTGAAGCCGCCAAACCTTGACAAAGGATCTACTTTATTAACCCTATGAAGTGAAAGAATATAAAGGACATTTCACTGGGAAGACGTAGAGAACGGACAAAGATATACGTTATACGCAAAAAATATACTGATACTAGTGTCTTATTTTATTGCCTTTCGCACCATTCTGAGGATATTTTTTACGATAAAATGAGATTTTTATTTCAGGCAAGTTCGACGGTGTCACATAAAAAGATAAATACTTTACTAGTGGAATTTCTTTTCCTTAAAGAACGAAAAATGATACAAAAGCTTTTGCAGTAATTTGATGTTGAATAGAATGGCTTTGATAAATTATTGTAATAATTCTATAACTTTGTAATAATATTTTAGATGTTTTTAGCATTTTGTGTATTTTTTAATTTTATTATTTGCCTTAATATAACATTTTTAATTTTTGCAATGTAATTTATTTGAACTGTAATGCATTGTTTATCCAAAGAAACCAATCTCAATAAATATTATTTGCTATTACCATATCCCTGTTAATACATAGTTAGACGCACGTTGTTAGTGAATAAGTAAACACTAACAACGTGTTTATAAACATGACTTTAATTAATGGCTGTATTTAATGCTTTTGATCTGTTATTATCTGCAGCGCATTTTGCTTGTTCAATTCTCGAGTATGTATCAATTTTGGAAACCCATTAAAATTTAATTAATAGTTAATTAATACATGACTATATCTAATCATAAAAGATTTTTACAAAATAAATGTTGCGTCACCAAAAAAAATCCTATAAGGGTATTTCGCCACTGCAAGAAAATCTACAAAATAAAATAGCTATTTTTTGTAAACACTTCTACGTCCAAACGGAAAAAACCCGAAACGGAAACTAATTGCCTAACGAACAAAAAAATGCATTTCATCAAAAAAAATGCATGCAAACATTTCGGAAAGTTTATCTCTTTCCGTCGGCGTCGTCGGAAGCAAAAAAAGATACAAAAAATAAAAAACTATTTAAAATATTTAAATTCAACTGTTCGAGAACACTTTAGTTTTTTAAAACAGATACGTCTGCAAAAACTGTTTCTCTGCACAAACACAGATAGATACTTAAATTTCGCATCTAATCACAGTATAAGTGTAAAAAAAGGTGTTATAAAAAGTTTATATGATAGGGTAAAAATAATATGTTCAGACGACATTTCACTAAACAGAGATATAAACCACTTAAAAAATACATTAATAAAAAACGACTATCCACCATATTTTATTGACAAAACATTAAACGAAATACAAACCCCAAATCGTAGACACAATGATAACAATACACAATATATACAACTTACAATTCCATACATACGAGGCGTTTCGGAAAAAATAAGAAGGATAGGAAAACAATATACGTAACATACGAACATCTTTCAAAACACAAAATACACTTAGATCCATTTTATCACATACTAAACCAATGAATACAGAACAACAAACAAAAAATGTAATATACCAAATACCATGTGAATGCGATAAATTTTACATTGGTGAAACATCTAGACTCTTAAATGTTAGAATATAAAGAGAGAAAAGAAAGAACATAAAGATTATTTAAGAAAGGGAGATTTTCACAAATCTAAGATTTGTCAGCATTCGTGGGACACAGGGCACAGAATAAATTTTAATAACGCCAAAATTATAATGAAAGAAGCAATAGCCTCTAAAAGAAAAATAAAAGAGGCTTTTTTAATACAATCTAACGAAAATAAATGTATTGCTCATGCATCTGTAGATGTTAGTAATGTATGGCAATCGCTTCTTTGATTTTAAAGAACATAACATAAATAAACATATCATACGTAAAAATTAAAAATAATCATACAGAAAGTTTGG